CCTCTAACCAAACAAACCATTAAGGTTTATCTATTAGAACTTAAATATTCTAATAAAAAAATAAAATATTATATTTTATAAATTAAATTTATTATACTATTAAAGATTTGATCAAACTAACTGTAATAAATTAATTACCTTACTTAAAGATACATTATTACATAATAATTACTTAATTTATTACTATAATTAACTTATAAATAGAAGTTAAAAAATCAAGAGTCTTATAAACAAGACATGTTATTTTGCTCAAAAGAGACAAGTTCCTCACAATCTTTTAGTTTCCCACCTCATTCTATTTTCTAAATATTCTTGGATTAAAAAAAACGTGTTTTGAATTAAGTGATTTTATAAGTAATATAGATTTATAAAATATTATTATAAAACTATAGTATTTTAAAGGTGAGATGCTATTTAGCTTATGTTATATTAGTAAATCTACTATTTGTAAAGGCATAAATTACCTTAAAATAAGTAAAGTTTTTATGTCTATTTTAATGATTGTTTTATTGATATTTTTTAATAAATTTATTAATTATTATTTTTATTTAATTATATTATTATTTGATTATGTAAGTAAGACACAATAATGACATAATACAGAGGTAAAGAAGAAAGTTTGAGAAACAACATTATCTCGGGTTGGGTTCGTATTTTTAGTGGAGGCGGGAAGGCATTAAGATCTGCCACGTGCATCCAAAATTTATATATTCAAATGTAATAGCCGTTAGTACTTAAGGAATTTAATCTTCATTACAAACGAGCCCATTTAAAAATATAAGTTTATACGAATAATTTTGAATTTAATTTAATTAATTTTTTTATATTTTATTAATTTTAATTAATATTGTGAAAATTGTACATGTGAACTTAACACAAGACTTGTATCCAACCTAAAATTAAATGGCAATAAATGAAATAATTTTTTTATATTTTATTAATTTTAATTAATATTGTGAAAATTGTACATGTGAACTTAACACAAGACTTGTATTCAACCTAAAATTAAATGGCAATAAATGAAATGATTTTCCTTGTATTTAATCCAATTTATACTCAATATGAGATTTTCACACTTAACATGCTCTCTCACGTGCAAGTTTATTATAAATGTCGGATCATGTCACGTGTATTAACACGCCTCGGTACCATATGAAAATTGTGCATATAAACTCAACACAAAATTTGTATCCAATTTAAAATCAATTGGTAATAAGTAAAGTGATTTTCCTTATATTTCACTCACAAGTTTTTTATTTTTATACTCAACGTGGGATTTTTCCACTTAACAAATATTTTATATATTTTTTTTAAATAATAA